CAAAAAAAAAAAAAAAAAAAGCTAGTTTAGCCATAATGGGGATCACCCTTAGAATGAGTCATTTAATATAAATAGTGGATACATCACTCAGGGAAGAGAAACTTTAAGTACATACAGGACATTTATGAGATCAAAGATAAAGAGATACTATAGAGCAGCAAAAGCAGCATCTACCACATTTTACAGGACAAGCTAAAACCTAAGATAGGTGATGCAGGTGAGCACCAGAATCAGGGTTTTGCCTGAGAAGCCACGTGGGTTCTTGGCTTTTTGCAGGAACAACTTTAAGCACAAGCTGTAAGGAGGAGACGAGAAGTAAGTTTACTAAAAAAAATGGAGACGTGGGCCGGGCTCAGCGACTTGGCCTGTAATCCCAGCACTTTGGGAGGCTGAGGCGAGTGGATTGCCTGAGCCCGTGGGTTCGAGACCCGCCTGGGCAGCAAGACCTCATCTCTATACTAAATCAAAAAATCAGCTGGGCGTGGTAGCGCGTGCCTGTAATTCCAGCTACTTGGCAGGCTGAGGCGGAAGGATAGCCGGAGCCCAGCAAGTCGAGGCTACGGTGGCCGGGAGCGGCCACTGCACTCCAGTCTGGGCAACAGAGTGAGACTCCAACTCAAAAAAATAAAAAATAAAAAAATAAAGAAAGAAATGGAGAAGTGGGGAAATGCTCTGCCTCTCCACACAGGCAGAGCAGCCCTCAGGCATCTCTGGGGTATCAGTTGGAAAAAAAAGTACATTTACTGAAATGATAGAGAATAGGCTGCTCCACAGACAGAGCAGTTGGGCTGATCCATTGGAAGAACAGCACCTTTTTATCATTGGTAGTTTTTGTGTGTGAATGTGCAACATTTTTTTTATCCATTCTTTTTTTTTTTTTTTAAGTCAAAGTCTCACTGTTGTCCAGGCTGGAGTGCAGTGGCACTCTCACGGCCACCCCAGTGTTGATCTGCTGGGGACGAGCCTTCCTCCTCAGCCTTCCAGGTAGCTGGAACTACAGGCACGTGCTACCACGCCTGGCTAATTTTTTATTTATTGTAGAGACGAGATCTTGCCATGTTGCCCAGGCTGGTCTCAAACCCCTGGGCTCAGGCAGTCCTCTAGTCTCCACCTCCCAAAGTGCTGGGATTATAGGTGTGAGCCACTGCTTCCAGTTTGTTTATCCATTCTTCTACTGATAGGAACTTGGCTTGCTTCCAGTTTTTGTCTGTTATAAATAGAGCTTCTACAAGCATTTGTGTACAGATCTTTTTGTGACATTTACTTTTTTTTCTCTTTGACAACACCCAGGCGTAGAATTGCTTGGACAGAGGGCAAGTGTATGTTCAGCTTTCTAGAAATTGCTGGACATTTTTCTTTTTTTCTGAGAAAGCAGGATTTATTGAGAGGACAGAAAAGCTCCCACAGTGGGAGGGAACCCAAGGGGGTTGCCTGCTAGACATTTTTCAAAGCATGTGTACCATTTTATGACCCCACCAAGCAAATATGAGAGTCCAGTTACAGTGCATCTTTACCAACACTTATTGGTGGTCTCAATCTTTTAATAGTAGCCATTCTGATTGGTGTGCAGTGTTATCTCACTGTGAAGTGCTGCTTAGTTTTGTTTGTTTTGCTTTGTTTTTGAGAATTCAAACAATTTGACTAACAAGATGTCTTTGAAATATAGAAAATAAAAGTTAGCACAGCTAGAAGGAGAAATTGATACATCATCATAATTAGGTGGTTTTTTTTTTGAGTTGGAGTCTCACTCTGTCGCCCAGACTGGAGTGCAGTGGCCGCTCCCGGCCACCGCAGCCTCGACCTGCTGGGCTCCGGCGATCCTTCCGCCTCAGCCTTCCAAGTAGCCGGAATTACAGGCTTGCGCTACCATGCCTGGCTGATTTTTTGATTTATTGTAGAGATGAGGTCTCCTTGCCCAGGCGGGTCTCAAACCCACAGGCTCAGGCAGTCCACTCACCTCAACCTCCCAAATGCGCAAGATTACAAGCTGAGCCACCGAGCCGGCTTCATAATTAGGTTTTTAAATTTGTTTGTTTGTTTTGAGCCTGGGTCTCACTCCGTTACCCATGCTGGAGTGCAGTGGCACACTCACAACTCACCACAGCCTCAACCTCCAGGATTCAGGCGATCCCTTCAGCCTCAGCCTCCCAAGGAATTGAGAATATAGTCATGTTCCATCATACCAGGCTAATATTTTGATTTTTTTTTTTTAATAGTGAAAGGATCTCATTATGTTGCCCAGGCTGGTCTTGAACTCTTGGGCTCAAGCAATCCTCCTGCTTTGGCCTCCCAAAGAGCCACTGTACTTGGGCCATAATTAGTTTTAATATATTTCAAAGTAAGATTAAGCGGCCAAAAAATCTAATAATAACATTGACTATTTGAGCATCATAATTAAGAAACTTGATTTAAGCCGGGCTCGGTGGCTCAGCCTGTAATCCCACGCTTTGGGAGGCTGAGGTGAGTGGATTGCCTGAGCCTGTGGGTTCGAGACCCGCCTAGGCAACTTGGCGAGACCTCATCTCTACAATAAATCAAAAAAATCAGCCATGCGTGGTAGTGCATGCCTGTAATTCCAGCTACGTGGAAGGCTGAGGCGAAAGGATCGCCGGAGCCTAGCAGGTCAAGGCTGCAGTGGCCGGGAGCGGCCACCGCACTCCAGTCTGGGGGACAGTGATATTCCAACTCAAAATAAAAAAGAAAAGAAACTTGATTTAATGAAAATTAGAGGCAAATGGTTGTTGTATTTCATATTAAAACCCATAGAACTATTTTTAAAAATTGCATGTTTATTTTATTTCATTTTATTTTTATTTTTGAGTTAGAGTCTCACTCCATCTCCCAGGCTGTAGTGCAGTGGCATGATCATGGCTCACCGCAGCCTCGACCTCCTGGACTCAGGATCCTCCTGCCTAAGCCTTCTTAGTAGCTGAGACTACAGATGTGTGCCACTGTGCCTGGTTAATTTTTTATTTTTTGTAGAGACAAGGTCTTCCTATGTTACCCAGACTTAGAATTTCCGGCCTCTAGCGATTTGCCCACCTCAGCCTCCCAAAGTGCTGGGATTACAGGCATGAGCCATCCTGAGACTAGCGCATTTGTTTTTTTGTTTTTGAGTTGGAGTCTCACTATGATTGGAGTGCAGTGGCATGCTCTCAGCCTCTGCAGCCTAGACTTGCTGGGCTCAGGTGATCCTTCCGCCTCAGCCTTCCATGTAGCTGGAACCACAGGCATGTGCTACCACGCCTGGCTGAATTTTTTGATTTATTGTAGAGATGAGGTTTTCCATGTTGCTCAGGCTGGTCTTGAACCCCTGAGATCAGGTAATCCTCTCACCTCCACTTCCCAAAGTGCTGGGATTATAAGCATGAGCTACCGCACCCAGACTATGTTTATTTTATTTTATTTTATTTTTTGGTTCCCAAGTTTTATTCAAGAACTCATACAAAATATTGAAGATAAATGAATTTTAATCCTCATCTTCCTCCTCTTCTTCATCCTGGTTAATTTGGAAGTAACGTAACTCGTAACTCTCTTTGCTGTTAGCAACTATGTGCAACCAATCACGTAGATTATTCTTCTTCAGATATTTTTTGGTGAGATATTTCACATACCTTTTGGAAAAAGGCACCTCGGAAGTCACAGTGATCTTGTTCTTGCTCCTTTCAATAGTCACAACTCCTCCACCGAGATTCCCAGCTTTTCCGTTCACTTTGATCCTCTCTTGCAAAAACTGCTCAAAATTGGCTGCATCCATGATTCCATCTTCTACAGGGTGGTTGCAATCAAGAGTGAACTTCAGAACGTGCTTCTTTTTTTTTTTTTTTTTTTTGCCCCCCTTCGTCACAAGCTTTTTCACGGGTGCCATGGCGGCAGCGGAGGCAGAAAGGGCTATTTTTTAAGCCATTGTAATAACAGATGATTTTATCTCCATTAAAAAAACATTTCATTTTGAATTAATTTTAGATTTACAGAAAAGTTGGCAAAACAGTAGTTTTCTTGTATTCCTCACCCCACTTCTGCTAATGTTAACATTTTACTTAACTGTAGTACAATTATCAAGAACAAAAATGCTGGGTGCAGTGGATCAGGCCTGAAACTGAGGATTGCCTGAGCCCAGGGGTTTGTGACCAGCCTGGGCAATTTGGCGAGACCTCGTCTCTACAACAAATTAAAAAAATTAGCCAGGCATGGTAGCATGTGCCTGTAGTTGCAGCTATTGAAAGGCTGAGGTGGAAGGATCGCCTGAGCCCAGCAGGTCGAGACTGCAGTGGCTGTGAGCGTGCCACTGCACTCCAGCCTGGGTAACAGAGTGAGACTCAAACTAAAAAAAAGCCAAAAAACAAAAAAATGAACATTTATGCAACATTATTATCTAAACTACAGACCTTATTAGAATTTTGTGTTTTTCTGCTAAAGCAATTTTTTTGCTAGGTCCCACGTTATATTTTGTTGTTATATCTCTCAATCTTCTCTAGTCTGAAACACTTTCTCAGCCTCGTCTCATCATTTATGACTTTTAAAGTCATTTTTGTCCAATGCACCTCAATATAGTTTGCCATGTTTTCTCATGATTGGACTGAATTATACATTTTGACAAAAATGCACATTGTGTCCTCAGTGCACCATATCCAGGGGTTCGTGATGTTGCTGCATTTTATCAGTGGTGATGCTGATTGCTTGAATGCTTGGTTAAGTTGGTAGCTGCCAGGTTTCATCACTGTAAAGTTTTTACCTTTCATAGTTAGTAAGTATCTTGGGGAAGATACTTTGAAATTATGCAAGTCTGTTTTTTCTCAGATTTTTGCACACTGATTTTTTAGCATTTTTCAGTAGATCTTGTCTGCAACAATTACCACCTAAATGGTGGTTCCCTATTTCCCACCTTATTTCTACTTTTTTTTTTTGAGTCGGTGTCTCACTCTAGTGCCCAGACAGTATTTCTGCATTTGTTAACTATAATTCTAATGCAGGGAAGAGCTGTCATCCTTTCTCCTTGATTGATTGATTGATTTTTATTATTTTCTTTTATTAGTATGGTTTCATAAATATGAATTTTATTCAATGGATTAAAATTCAATACTGTGGCCAACTGATTTTCAAGGATGCTGGAGCCATTGAAGGCAGAAAGAATAGTCTATTCAACAGATGGTGCAGGGACAATTGGATAGCCACTTGCAAAAGAACGAAGTGGAATTTCTACCTCACTCCATATATAAAAATCAACTCAAAATGGGTCGACAACCGAAACACAAGAGCTGTTAGAGGAAAACATAGGTGATCTTGAGAACCTCAGTTTGTCATTGCATTCATAGATTTGACACCAATAGCATGAGCAACAACAACAACAACAAAAAACAGGTAAATGGGATTAACATGAAAATGGAAAACTTTTGTGCTTCAGAGGAAACCAGCAAGAAAGTAAAGAGATAACCCACAAAATGGAAGAAAATATTGGCAGATCATATGTTTGATATGGACTGAGTATCCAGAATATATAAAGAACTTAAAAAGCTCACCAACAAAAAGAGAGTGCAACCCAATTAAAAAATGGTCAAAGTACTTAAATAGACATTTCTCTAAATAAGATATACACATGGTCAATAAACATGTGAAAAGATGCTCAGCATCACTGTTTGTTTTTGATTTTTGTTTTTTGGGGTTTTTTTTGAGTCGAAGTCTCACTCTGTCGCCCAGGCTGGAGTGCAGTGGCACGCTCCCGGCCACTGCGGCCTCAACCTGCTAGGTTCAGGTGATCCTTCCGCCTCAGTCTTCCAAGTAGCTGGAACTATAGGCACATGCCACCATGCCTGTCTAATTTTTTGATTTATTGTAGAGATGAAGTCTCACCAAGTTGCCCAGGCTGGTCTTAAACCCCTGGGCTTGGACAATCCTCTCACCTTAACCTCCCAAAGTGCTGGGATTACAGGCTGAGCCACCGTGCCTGGCCAACATCATGGTTTATTAAGGAAATGCAAAAACCACAGTGATTTGTGTGTGATGGTACCATTTCACACCCACTAGCATGGCTACAATTTTAAAAAAAGGATAATAGAACATTTATGCATTGCTGGTGAGAAAATAAAGGGTACAACCACTGTGGAAAACAGTTTGGAAGTTCCTCAAAAAGTTAAACATAAAATTACCCCATGATAGTAATTTCACTCCAGAAGATATATGCCCAACAGAATTCAAAACAGATAGTCAAACAAATACTTGTTTATGAATGTTCATAGCAGCACTATTCGCTGTAGCCAAAAGGTGAAAACCCAAATGTCCATTAACAAATGAATAGATAAACAAATTGTGATATATTCATAGAATGGAATTTTATTCAACCATAAAATGTAATTAAGTACTATTTGTATATCTAACCCTGAATAATTGTCCCCCACACTTAAAAAAAATATAAAGTAGCCAGGTGCAATGGCTCACGCCTGTAATCCCAGCACTTTGGGAGGTGGAAGTGAGGGGACTTCCTGAGCCCATGGGCTCAAGACCAGCATGGGCAACTTGGTGAGACATCATCTCTACAATAAATCAAACAAATTAGCTGGGCATGGTGGCATGCACCTGTGGTTTCAGCTACTTGGAAGGCTGAGGTAGAAAGATCACCTGAACCCAGCAGGTTGAGTACGATACTTGCTACATCTTGGATAAAACTCAAAAGCATTCCTAAGTGCAAAAAGCTGGACATAAAAGATCACATGTTGTATGATTTATTTTATTTTATTTATTTATTTTTTGAGTTGGAGTCTCACTCTGTTGCCCAGACTGGAGTGCAGTGGCCACTCCCGGCCACCGCAGCCTCGCCTGCTGGGCTCCGGCGATCTTTCCAAGTAGCCAGAACTACAGGTGCGCGCTACCACGCCTGGCTAATTTTTTTATTTATTGTAGAGATGAGGTCTGCCAAGTTGCCCGGGTGGGTCTCGAACCCGCGGGCTCAGGCAATCCACTCACCTCAGCCTCCCAAAGGCGCGGGATTACAGGCTGAGCCACCGAGCCTGGTTTATATGATTTATTTTAAATGAAATAACCAGAATAGACAAATCCATAGAATCAGAAAACAAATTAGTGACTGCTAGGGGATGGGGAAAAGAGGAAAGGAGAATAATGAGTCCTCGGTATTCTTTTTGGATGATGGGAAAAAAACCCTGAAACTAGAGAGGTGGTGATTTTACAACATTGTAAATGCATTAAATACTGCTGAATTCTATACTGTGGTTAAACGTATATTACTTGATTTTCACCTCAAAAATATGTGTATCTGATAAAACCATTAGTTTGTTGCTTTAATTTTTCTAACTTTGACCATTAGGAACTCATTCAGGTTGGCTCCTGTGTTTTTTGACAGGCCACTATCTGTTTTTGAGCATTCCCTTTCTTTCTGATACCACAAGATATTCTAGGCTCCCCCTTGTATTTTCTCTGTCTCAACTCTGAATTCAGCTACTTCTTCAAGGATTCCTGGTTTATTTTATTGGAGAATGCTGTTTAGGAACTGAGAGCTGGGTGTTGGGTATGCTTTTTGTTACTAGAGAATCATTGTTTCCAGGCCCCCTTAGCAAATAGAGCTATAAAATACACATATGTGTACTAATCCACATATTAGCACACATCTATATTTCTTTATCTTCATGTTTGTTTTATTTTATTTTTGAGTTGAGGTCTCACTCCGTTGCCCAGGCTGGAGTGCAGTGGCACAATCACAGCTCATAGCAGCCTCGGTCTTCTGGACTTAGGTGATCCTCGTACTTAAGCTTCCCAAGTAGTTGGGCTACAGTTGCGCCACTGCACCTGGCTAATTTTTAAAATTTTTTGTAGAGATCTCACTATGTTGCCCAGGCTTGTCTCAAACTCCCAACCTCAACCAATTCTCTTGCTTCAGCCTCCCAAAGTGTTGGAATTATAGGCATGAGCCACCATGCCCTGCCTGTCTTTGTGTTTATACTGATACTTCTGATCTCAATACCTTTTATGATCTATACTGTTACACTGATTCCAGACCAACACTATAGGCTTCCTTTTAGTCTCTCCTTTTTTCTTATTTATTACATTTCTCTAAATCATTTCATTATCTGCAATATATTTGCTTATTTGTTAAATTCTATTATGCACATAAAATAGTTTCAGAATTGCTGTAAGAAATAACCCTAGCCGGGCTCGGTGGCTCAGCCTGTAATCCCACGCCTTTGGGAGGCTGAGGTGAGTGGATTGCCTGAGCCCGCAGGTTCGAGACCCGCCTGGGTGGCGAGACCTCATCTCTACAATAAATCAAAAAATCAGCCGGGCGTGGTAGCGCATGCCTGTAATTCCGGCTATTTGAAAGGCTGAGGCGGAAGTATCGCCGGAGCCCAGCAGGCGAGGCTGCACTCCAGTCTGGGCGACAGAGTGAGACTCCAACTCAAAAAAAAGAAAAGAAATAACCCTGTAAGAAATATACATACTGGGCCAGGTGTGGTGGCTCACACCTATAATCCCAGCACTTTAGGAGACCAAGGTAAGAGGATTGCCTGAGCCCAGGGTTTGAGACCAGCTTAGGCAACTTGGTGAGACCTCATCTCTACAATAAAATTAAAAAAAAAAAATTAGCTAGGCATGGTGGCACGTGCCTGTAGTTCCAGCTACTTGGAAGACTGAGGTGGAAGGATCACCTGAGCTCAGCAGGGCGAGGCTGTGGTGACTGTGAACATGCCACCGTACTCCAGCCTGGGTGACAGAGTGAGAATCCAACTCAAAAAGAAAATAAAAGAAATACACATACTGATTTGTTTATAACATTTACATACAGTTCTTTTTGTCTATAGCCTTATAGTATTCTGCCAAGTTACTGGTTTTTGTAGTTATTAGGTTAGTTCTTCTCCCCTCATATGGTCCTTCAGTGGT